TGGCGGCATGAGCTATGGAGCATGTATAGCTGTCTGCTTTGGAGCTGGTTGTAAAAGCCTGGGGGATACTGTATTGGCAAAAGAAAGCCTGTCTGCTCTATAGAGCCGGTTCACAGAAAGGTGATACATTTTCAGACGGCTTTTTTTATCGATCTCATGAAGGAGAAAATCGTCCACTCCATAGTCTGGTTTGAAGGCAGGTTAACAATGGATGCATTTGAAGCTTCTGTATGGGACCTTATTGCCTTTTGAGACATGCTAGCTGCATGGCTCCAGTTTGCACTTTCGATCAATCAGTTCTCCACTTTGGTGATGGTTGTAGTATGTCATCAACTATTGGAATGATTACCATGAATAAATTGATATAAGATATGTTTGGGTCCCAGAATATCCCCGACTTAACCTCTAGTGCCACCGTCAGACTGACAGTTTTGGGTCTTAGTGAAGGGTCTTGACATCTGTTGGCTGAACTGGCACAAGTTAAATACAGATAATGTTGGTTTCAATTCATAAACTTTGAGTGCCGCTATGAGATGGTGGAGGTGGGTTAGAATAAATTATTTAAAATATTTCAGAATAAAATGTCATGAAACGTGGTACACACATTCCTTAACTTCCAAAAAAATAATTCTATTAACTTGTTGGTTTGGGTTAAGCTTTCCATTTAAGCTGTCACCTTCAGTTCAATTTCTTGAATACTTCTGCTTTGTAAGGTGTTTTGAAAGGCGCCTTTAAATAATGAAATGTATTATTATTATTCCTATCCCTACTGAAACTATGAAATTGTTTTGCTCTAACCCCCCTGTAACGACGCCACACTGCTCCAATGGACTGAGTTCATTAAAATGTGTAAGAAGGCTGTGTTTTCTTACACAGCATTAATGCCGATTCACGTTTAAGGCTACTCTTCAGCTCATCAAAGAACAGTTCTGATGTTGCATTTGGAAACAGACAATCCTTCTTACACATTCATCCGGAGCTCTGCAGCAGATCATCATGACTGAATATGGCAACAAAAGTGATTGTGCAGAAATGGTCCTGTTTAGTCTTGCATGTAATATAAACCCAATTAGAATCACATGCTGTTAGCCAGAAAATAAATCAGACACCACATGTTGCTCCTAACAGAAGTTTCAGTGTTAAACAGACAGAGAGCGGATTAAAAATAGTCAGAGCTACACTTGTTCCTAGTTTGGTCACAGTACCATCTCTGCACTGTCTTGCCCCTGGAAGGAAATTGGCCAGTGGTTATGAAGAGTTTAATGGCAACACATTCTCTCTGCCTGTTTATAGTGTCCTGACTTTAGCCTCTTTCCTTTCACGTATCTGTTCTGATCTGTCACTTATTTGGAGGTCCACATTTACTCATGTCCTCTCTCGTTGATCTGGCCTTGCATGGTCTGATCAAGGCTCTATGAGTTGAGTTATTGGTACAAGGCATGCTTTCAGACTACAGGCTGAAAAATGACTTTGAGTGTTTATTCAATCCAGGACTGATTATCAACTCAGTCGGTGCCTTGCTAGCATAACTTCAGAAACGTGTTTGAGAGCCAGGTCAGTGGAGTGCTTTGTAATCCCTCTTAGTGACTAAAGCTATTTAGGAGCACACCAGGAGCCAGAAAACATCTAATGCATACAGATGGTGTCAGGTAAAGTGCTGGTATGGACAAAGATGTATCATCCCTGAGAGGGTTGCAGAAGTACAGTTCTGAGAATTTCCTTTTTAAGACTGTGATTTGATGTCGGCAAGTGCAGTGACAAGTCCCCACAGAGCTCTGGACGCTAAATCTGGTTTGAACAACCAGTGTGTGGCCTCAACAGACTGCTATGCTATGATTTACATTTTACTGCATGGATATATACAACACAGGAGCCTTGGCCTTAACTTTAGCGGAAAAGTCAAACATCTCTGGAGATAATCTTTTCTCATATTACTCCAATTCAATTTTGAGAATGAAATACTTGTATCCATTTCATCTCTTTTTCTAAACTTGTGTTTGTCATAGCCTGCCATAGGGTTGTCAAGATACTAGATTTTTAAACTTTGATAGGATTCTAGTAAAATTCATATATCGATACCTGTTTCTATATCACAGCAACAAAAGTACAATGAGGCTACGTCGGCTGCGTCGCCAACATGTCAGTGCACATTAGATTGTTCTCTCTCTCTCTCTCTCTGTCGCTCGTTGCAGCTTTGATTAAAACGTAAGACTCAGGATCAGTAAAGGTTTTTTTTTTTTTTTTAAGCTTTGGTACTTCTCAATACTATCAACCGTTAGAATAATGGCGATTGATGCTTTTTGATAACATGTGTTTTAAACTTAACAAAGTATCAACATGTTTTGACAACATTAGCCTGCCATAGCTTAAATCATTTACTTTATTGTAATTTTTTAAGTAAAACAAGAAGACATAAGCAGCTGTCAGTTCTCTGCAGTTTGAACAGAGCTAGGGAAAGTAGATTATTAGCTTAGCTTAACATGCAAACCAAAAGAAGGGGGGAAAAAAGAGCCTGGTCAGTCCAAAGTTTAAAAATACTCATTGTAACACCAGTGAGTTTTTTTTTATGATTGAATGGAAAAGGAAATGTAGAATTGACCCTTTATGAATTTGGGGATGTAGGCTACATGTAGTTTAATTACTTTTTAAGGAGTTGCCACAATTGTCACAATATGGTTGCCAGGCAACAAGGAGCAACGCAGCAAAGAAGTCATAATGAAACTGCTGTTTGTCACTTTTCGTTTGTGTTACTGTGTGTTTCCTTCAAAGGCTTAAAATCAGGGAGAACAGCCAGTCAAGCTTTGTCAAAGATTAATGGTGACATTTAGCTTGTAGCCTCAGTCCAAACATGACATGGGTATTATTATAGATGCATTGTTGCACAAGCTGGCCACCTCCTTTAGGACATGATGCTGCGGCTTGAGTCACTGCTTCAAGTTGCTGCTGTTAAGAGATGATTCATCCTTAAATCAGTGACTCGTTTGAACATTTTCAAACCGATAAGATGTAATTACGGCGCTCCGAAGGGGAAGGGAGTGAACTGTTGAAATTCCTTACCACTGAAATCAATTCAACAAACAGCAACTCTGCAGACTAAAAATGACCACCCTTATCTATGCTTGGATGCCTGCTAAACTCGAAGCAGTCTAACATGTGAATGTCATTTATATCCACATTATGCTGGATAGTAAGAAGCACCCTGGAGAGGATTTGAGGAAGAGCAAGCGATGAAACGTTTGATTCAGACAGTTTAAAGAGATATAACCATAAGCTTCATCTCTTCCCCTAAGAAGTTCATTTTCAAACCAACTTCCAGGTCTCTTGCATGTGGTGAGAGTGACGTCAGAAAGGAGAAAAAAAAAGGGAAGTGCTGTTTGAGTTTGCACTGATAGGACCCACATGTATGTTTCCCTGTATAAGCACATGTGTGTCTCAAACCAGATTGAATATTACTGCATGTACATCCTTTTTATTCAACCATTATCTCAGGTTATAGCTTCTGCATGTGCCCATCGCACTCAAACATCGGCCTGAGTTACCACAGCTTGTACAGTGCGGGGACTTTCTGCCCCGTGACCTCCCTCATGTTCAGGGTTGCAACACAGCAGCTCAAGTTCTCCCCTCTTGTTTTTACAATTTATCATCTGCGACTATTTAACAGTGACTCAAGATGAGGCGGCACACTCTGTAGAGAGTATGTGAGTGTTAAGCCCTTTAAAATAAGCCTCTGTCTTCCTGCTTTTGTTCGTACGTCCAGCTAAGCTCCTCAGGGTTAGTGTGGCCATAAAAATGACAACAGTAATTTGGGGAGACAAAGTGGGCTAAGGGGCTAACTACCCCTGCTCCATGGAAACTTCATCCCTGACCTCCATGCCTTATGGGAAAGTTCAGTGTGACTCTTGTAATGTACTAGTGTGCAGATACCAAGTGGTGTAAGGACTCTAAATGTGGCTTTGAAAGATTCAAAGTAGATACGACCTGTCAGATCAGCTATTAGTTACATGATTCGAGTGCTGCTCAAAGCCGTGGTACTTAAAATCACTCTTAAGTAGCTGGCTAATAGTCTGTGATGTCATGATACCTGAATTGAACGTTTCTTTATGATTTAAGTACAAATCAAACAATATCGATACCTGTTTCAATACCATGGCAACAAGGCCCCAATATCTGGTAATTCCTTGTTTTCCACAAATTGCAGTCAAACTTCAGCAATGTCTTATTTGTACAAATACGTTGCTGTGTATTTCTACAATTAAGACAGTGCTCTGTCTTTTGCTGGTAGCAGCTCTAGTTAAAAAGATGACTGAAGGTCTGTAGTTCTCTTTAAGGCTTCTGTACTTTCTGATTCAGTTGATCATTAACATAACAGAGTGTATTGTTTTCTTACCATGGCCTGATTCAACAGCAGCACATTGTTGGTTAAAAAATCCAGTCCATCACTTACCTACGTGGCTCCTTCCACTTACAAACATACACATTCCCTTTCTTTCAACACTTGCATTTTGTTTTCACCTGTTGCCTTTGACAACACGTGTAATTTCCATTTGAAGACCACTCATCAAACCGAGCATGTTGGTGCTGCTTTGACACATACTCCTCATGGAAACAGGGTAACAATGCCTCAGTACCGTGAACACAGCCGCACTGTCACAGTTTGGTAACCTAAGCAGTGTAGGGGCAGAAGTCACCTTGTCTGCTACATCAACACAAACAAGCGCTCCTTTCATGGGACAAGTCCTGTTCTGTTCAACCACATGGATCAGTCAAGAAGCACCTGGGCCGAGACCCCGCTGTCTGTCTTCCTTCCTCTGTCTGCTCCTCTTCCCTGCAAATCATTCACTCATCACCCCTCTCTTTTTTTCTTGTACAAGGTATCATTTAAAGTAAGGGCTTATCATAGAGGTAATGGCATGTTGAAGAAGGATAGAATAGTACGGAACATGTAATTGTCTCTTTTTATTTTGTTGTCTGATTAAAAAAACTTGCGTTGTGTCCCACAGAGTGCCAAGAGCCTAGAGAACAACAAGGATTCACGGATCCTGTGGGTCAAAGACGACCGTTTACTCACCTCTGGATTTGACATGGTGAGGAACTCTTGACCTGTGAGATCTGCTGCTGCATGTTGCATTAACCAAAGACCTGTGTTCCCTTTGTGTTTTATTTTAATTTAACACGTCAAGTACATGTGTGACATATACACACACTGCAGTTTCACACATGTTCAATCTAGTAGCAGGTAAAGAAGCAGAGCTGAGGCGGGCCTTAAGACAAGCAGCTACACTGTGCCCACCTGTCAGTCAACTCAGCCGTCCCACTAATGCTCAAATCTGTTCAAATAAAACATACAGATGAGTTTCACATGAGACCTTTACTTGGCTTTTGGAGCTTGCCTCAAGTGGAAACTCGACAAACTACAGTTTTTTGCACCTCCACATTGGCCTCATTTTTAAACCCCAGAGCCCCTGCAGCTTGGTTTGCACCCAAGTCGTCTAACAAATTGCTGCGACTGCATTTAAAAAAAAAAAAAAAAAAAAAAAAAAAGCCCTGACACAACTTGTTAAAGACATTTGACACACACGGTAAACATTTATTAACGTGTTAGTGGGAATGCAAATGTTTAACACCATCATTTTACTTTCTGCCATTTGAAAGAGTGAAATTTGTACACAGGGCTTAACAAAGTGTTAACATTAGATTTTAATACATTGCATATTCTGTGAAACTCCTGTGCGATGCTATGTATTGCATTTGCCACTGAGCAGACTGTACTCATTAAAATACATTACTGCACCTGAAATATATGGTTAACTTATTCTAAAACTTTAGAGACACAACCATAAATTGATTTAAAAAAAAAAAAAAAACCTTTGCTAATATTATGAAGAAACAATGTTCCTAACCTGAGTGCAGATTGTGCGTGTCTCATTTAACTTGTATGATCTCATCTGTTGGCTTATATTTTTCATTACATTGATTAACTGTACTTCTCATGTTGTTGTGTGTAGATGCGTAGTCGGGAGGTGAGGCTTTGGGACAGCAGGAAGTTGAGCTCCTCCGTCAGCTCAGTGTCACTCGGCACCTCCAGCGGGTGAGTCCTGCATCAGTGTGCATCCACTGATTTACTGACACAGTCGTGGCATAGACTGTGTTGGTCTCTAATGTCCACCAGTGGGACAGCAGTAGCTCATGTGTTACAGAACAAAGTGGTCTTGTGTACGTGAATTGACACACTTTGCATACATTTGATGTGTGTGGTATGTGTATGTGTGATAGTGGTTTGTGGCATTGACATAAATGAGGATGATGTATGGAGGGTCTCTGCACATTTCGAGCTTCTTTGCGGCTTTATGGCTGGACAGAGAGGCAGACCTCCCAGAGCCCTGACACTGTCCCTCAACATTCCTGCCATTTCCTGGGTGAGAGCCACACAGAGAGACTCCTATCATCTCTCTTAGTGAAAGAAACAGTGTCTGTATGTGTATGTTCCTTATCCCTCTGTTCACAACCACTGTGAAGAGTCAGGCAACAGTCGACACTTTGCCACTTCTCCCTTCAGCCGTCTGCTTGTCATTGCTGTGCCTGACCTTCGTGTATTTCTCCAAACACGGCAACTGAGGGCCGGAGAGGAGAAATAAACGGAGAGAGCGGGAGCGTGGCTGGGCTCCAGAGAGAGGAGCATAATAAAATGATGAAAGGAAGAAAAGGGAATGGGAGCGGAGTGAGGTGTCTTTAAAAGATCCCACTTGTGCATTTTGGTGCTTTTATAAACAGGTTTGAAGGCCAAGTCATTCCAAACTGGAGCAGACTGGATTCTGCCAGGCAAGTCTGCATGCTGTGGTGGAATAAATCAATAAATATGTGATCATAAATATGAATTAAAAAAAAAAAAGGCAGAGAGGTTCCGGCGCATAGTGATGCAGATGTGCTTTGTTGTGTTGCCTCTCTAAACATGTCTGCAGCAGAACAGATTTATTCGTTGGCACGTGTGTGTGTGTGTGTGTGTGTGTGTGTGTGTGTGTGTGTGTGTGTGTGTGTGTGTGTGTGTGTGTGTGTGTGTGTGTGTGTGTGTGTGTGTGTGTGTGTGTGTGTGTGTGTGTGTGTGTGTGTGTGTGTGTGTGTGTGTGTGTGTGTGTGTGTGTGTGTGTGTGTGTGTGTGTGTGTGTGTTTGAGAAGTTTAAAAGTAGACACAAAAAAAACATCCTCCACTCGTCCTCCTCCCTCTGCCCTCTTGTTCACCACTCATCTCAATTTCCTTTGCTTCCTCCTTCATTTAAGTGAGACGGATGGTTGACTGTCCAAGGGCCTCTTTGGAACTCATCGTATTGTTTGCTGCCAGCTTATTTTTTCATGAGACTGGAGGATATCTGATGCAAGTGATGCCACACTTTTAAACTTTCCACTGGCAAAGCGAAAAATTCCCCAACAAAACACTTTCAGGAAGGAGTGGCTGCTGAAACCACAGAGGATAGTGTTAATTGGTGAATTTTATTGGTGTCTGTCCTCGTAGACGAAGGAATGTAGAAGTTTACTCATAGTCTGTTGCCGCTGCTTTGTGGGTGTGATGATAATGGCGCAACTTGACGAGAATGTACCAACAATGTGACGAATCCTACTCAGCAGTTCTACTCATCTGGTGACAAGCTGTTTTCCTATAGTGCCTTCTAACTCAACCACTGTCTTGTTTTCTTGATGTCCGTCCACACTTTCTTGAATCAGCAGAAGAGCCCGCCATATTGGATCAATTTCATACATTTAATTAGCTTTGAATTTCCAGAGAGGCCATTTGGTTTCCTGTAATTTGGATATGAGCTAATTTGAAAAACTGTGATCTTTCATCGCACGTAATTGCTCGGGTGTGTGCTGACCGCTCTGCAGTACGTCCTGTATTAAATCACTTCAATGATGATATCATATGGCGGGTCGGTGTGTCAGAGAGCTATCACTCCCAAGGCCACATCCCCTCCAGATGCCTGCAGACAAGCGCTGATATAAAACAGGTAAGGCAATCAAGAGATGGATGAGACCTCACCCTTTACTGCCATTCCGCCTCGTCCCAGCCCTCCTCATTCCTCACATCTTCTTTGCCACAATATTACCTTCACCTTTTGTGCTCTCAACTGTTTTATATCTTGAATCTATTCTGTGGAGCCTGAGAAATATCTGTTAGCTTCTTGCCCTGTTAAAAGGAAGATTCTGCCTTGACCATGGTCTAGTCTGGGCTTCAGACTCGAGCTGCTGTTACGGGCCCAGACTCCATTCTTCTCTTTTAAACTCCACTGTGAGAAGCATCCAGAACACTGTCATCAACAAACAAGTCTTCAGGAGTTCAATGGGGGGGGAGGGGATATATAACCACTACCTCTAATAGTGTCATACATCTCAGTCAAAGACTTAATGAAACTAAAGATCTCTTAGATGTAGTCTGCCATCAACAAACGCTGATGTGAAAAATGGTTGGCCTGTTTTTTAGGTAAAAGTCTAGGTTAAAATGTCCATAACTTCTGACTGCTTTCTCAGTTTATATCTGTTTTATAATGCAACTTAGATAATGCTCATGTCTGGGCATCCTTCCATGAATGCTACAGGTACTATTTCATCTGTATCTTGTGTAGTTTTTTGGGGAAAAGCAATTTGCCATCATTCAGTTTATTTTATTCTGCATCAGATTGTCCTTGAGTTCCTTGTGTCTCTCAGGATTTAAAATCCTTGTTTCTGGTTTCTTACCCTATTTTTTTCTTTGGATGGTTTGGTTTTAGCTCAACATGGTCCAACTTCATTTCCCCTGTGTATGACAAACGCCCTTGAAATAGACAAAATGCAATAGTCATAAGGAGACCGTATCTACATTTTTCTTCACACTTGATGGATGGAAGCGAAACATTGTACACGAGCAGCCGAGGAAGCTGAAAGTCAAACATCCATAGAGGGGCATTTCCTCCCTGTCATGTTTTGCCTCAGGTGCATATGAAGATGGATTTGTTCTTTTTGCCTGCCTGTTGTTAATTAAAAGAGCCGTGGTAAACATGCTGTGTAATCGGAGCGGCGAGCTGGCTTGTGTCAGGTTAGTTCTGCTCGTCCACAACATTCGGTAGGACTGTTTTCTTTGGAGTGTCACAACATGAAGAGGCCTGGGAGCATGAGCCAGTGAAACGGGGTTGTGGGTGGAATATAATTTGGATGGAGAATAATGAGGGGGAAATGTTTATTTTTTTGGTTGGGGTTGAAATTGAGACCGAAAAAATTGAGGGGCCGAGGGTGATGATTCTGAGAGGGGTGTTTTTAACTCTGCAGAGGTTGCGTTTTCTGCATGCTGGTTTTTCCATGGATGCTTCAGATCTGGACATTGGACAACAACAAAGATCTGTGTGCTCCTCTCTTCGCCATGCTCTACCCTCTATAAACCTGAATTATAATAATGAGTTTAATGGAGCCTCTAAGCCAGCTGCAATCAGTGAACTCTACAACTGGACACAATTGTAACCAGCCTGGCATTTAAATGCATGATAATTGTCCACGTTCTCCTGCTTTTGCAGCTACACACAGATTCACCTCACTTAGAGCTGTAGTCTTAGTGATGCACGTCCTTGCTGTAGCTTGAAATTGTGTCATGAGGCTGACATTGAGATCTCTCAGGGTTACCGGGTCATGATTTAGCATAACGAATCTGTGATCTCCGAGAAAGTCTGGCTTTAACCCCTGTAATTGTCCACAGTCACTTCCAATGTTCTGCTCATGTAGGCAGAGAAGCACATGAATCTTCTATAACGCTTGTTATTTTCTTGCATGAGACTGATTTAAAGAGATGGCTGTGACCCAGTGCCCACCAGTATCCATCCTGGCGATTGGAGAGGACATAAGCCAGTCCCTGGAGAGCTGACCCAACTGTTTTCCCAACCGAGTCAGGGGTTACAAAAAGAACTCCCCCTCGGAGACATGCACTGCTGACAGACTGTTCTGTTAGAGAGAGGGGTTTTGCGGTGGATGCATGGGAGTACCCCAGGTGTGTTGCACATACTCACACCCTCTTTTGACCGTCCACAATCTATTTCTGTGTTGTTGTTTTTTTTTGTAGTCTACCAGAGTCGTGCCTTGGAGCAGGGCCCAGTCATTGGGTGTAATTGAGCCAAACTGCCTTTAATCAGATGGATCGTGAAGAGGCCTATGCCCCAGAAGGGGACCAGCTTTTTAGAGAACAGTCCCCCCTTTCTCCCAACCCCGACTGAGGCGCTCTCAAATCAGTCCCAGATGAAGGCTTTCCTGTGGGGATTAGGTGCAGCTGCAGCACCGCTAACCAAACCCGAGCACACAGCCACAGAATGTTTGAAAGATAGTTTGACCTTACTCATTTCTCCTGAGTTCACTTCGTCGAGCAAGTGGAGCTTCGTTGTTTTGGTCCACCTTAAACAGACGGTCATGTTTTGAATGGAGGGAAAGGCAAGACTACCCTACTTGGTCAATCCTCAGGGTCAAGTCGACAGTTCAGCTGCTGCAGGACGACCTTGGGGGAAGGGAATGGGGTAAAGATGTGACCACACACGCTCTGTCAAAGAACCTGAACTCTGACAGTTGAAACATGATGTCTGGAATCTGTTAGTCATTTGGGGTTTCAGTTTAAGATTCAGTCGGTTTGATCAGGAAAAAGAGGATGAAAAAAAGGTGGAGGAAGGAGCCCTAAAATCCCCACTTGTTTTTTTTTTTAGGGATATCGACTCTTTGTGAGCTTTTACTGGCTTTTCTTGTAGGCTCATGTGGCAATCCCAACCTTCTTATACTCCATAACACCTCATTGAAGTCATCTGTTCCTCTTTCATGCCCTGTGATCAGCTAACACAGCAAATGTCCTCTGATGCCTGGGTCCTATTAACCTGTCAAAAACATAGCTGTTATCCTTCAGTAAATCCCTTCTTTATCCTTATCTGGCCACCTATTAGACTTTCTGTCTATTACCATTTGTCCCCCACTCCTGTTTCTCACTCTTCATTCTCTCTATCCTGCACATATAGAATTAAAAGGAAGGAGATTTTTTTTTTTTCAGGTGCTAGTGTCTGGGATTCAAATTAAGTGTTTTTTTTTTTTTTAGAGCAGAGT